TTCTGTCGTCTTAAATCTCGTTCATCTTTTATCCTTTTCTCGATCTCCCCTATACCAAACATTCATCCTCTGTCACCTCCTGCGTATTAATGGCATTCCCGACTTGTTTGGGGTGAAATGATTATATATATATATATATATATATATATATATATATATATATATATAGTGTCTCGATCCAAAAAACAACATGCCTGGCTGCATACACAATTCCGGAAAATCCTCGTTGAAAACACAACTATACTTAAACATGAAAACGATAAACAAAAATTAAAAATTCTTGAAGCTTTATACATGAAACAGTTGAAACCTAACATGAACAAAATAAACTATGAAATCTCCACAAATATCATTAAATGCTTATAATTTATAACAGAAGCCATTGGTTTATACCAACGGCTTCCCATACTTAATACTTCTCGTTTTTCACTCTCGCGTGGTCATGTGTGACGTCACGAGCTGCGACGCGATTTTCGCTTCTGCGTCTCGTATATACGAATTTGTCGTTACTTTGAAATTTTCATGCAGCAAGGGCGGACTATCATTGTTGTTTCGTCTTTGTGTTGTTTGATTTATTGAAATTGTCATCTTTGATAATGGCTTGTGTAAGCCAAAAGCTTAGATTGGATTTAAACATGTATTTGGTGTTTTCTTTTCGTCTTTCAACGATAATGTGATTAAGCTTATCAGACAATATGAAGAACTTCCTTAAAATAAATAGACAAAACTTGTCTATATTATTTAATGAAACATGCATTAATGAAAAATTGCTGCCTAAATATACACAATATATATATATATATATATATATATATATTGTCCCTAAAATGGATTTACGTTATCAAGACTATAATACGATAGCACAGTAAGGAGAGTAACATCCTTTGCAATGTGTATCTTCAAGCAATTATTTATGCATTTGCATTCATTTACATTCAACATATAATGGCCATATTATCTCCGTCATACTTAATTCCTGACCATTGAGTAGGGCCAGTCTGTACTCCTCAAATCCGCTTTAAGTCTGTTTGGGAGCTCTAGGTAGTGCTTTGTGACCCTCAACGTCTTACCAACATAGGTATTTTTCTTCCCATTTTTATACACATTGCAAATTAAACTAAATACAACTGACTATCAAAAGATGACAAATTTTCGCGAATTTTGACGACATTCTGGGGTCTTTTTTTCGGCCAAATCTGTGAATTTGTTTTTCTCGTGCTAAGTCTTGAAAAAAAAAACTCCAAAAAAACACTATATAAACTTCACCTTTTTTATCCATAATGTTGAATGTGCCAAAATTCCACAAATTTTTAACAAGAAATATCTCAAAGTTGATGTTAAAAATTTCCGGAAAACATTGTTGATTTATTCAAGATGGAATGATCTATCATGACATGTCTCTAATTTGTTTTTAGATACATTGTATTTATTTTCCATTTTTCGAGTAGGATTGTTCGCCTATATTGCATCTGATCCATTATTGTACATAGGTCACAATAAAATTTGTATTTGATATATATATACTACCTTATGAAAATTGAAATGTAATAGAGTGGGGGGCCCCGTAGCGCATATTGCACTCTTGCACCGGCACCGCCACTGTGAATGCCTTTCTTCGATAATTTTAATGCATAGTGTAGGGTGCCGATAAAATAATAATGCGAAATTTGAATTTTCATTACCTAACGTTTTATTTACTCCACCGGGCGATATTCTCCATTGCTCTCACCCGGTCCGACACTTGGATCCTACATTGTCCTTTTCTGGCATGTGAGAGATTGCTCGACGAGGCTACCCCCAAACTGTCAGGGTGGTTCTTTATATATCCCTCTGTTTTTCCGTTGACATGCTTGCGGATACCAGATGCAGGAGTTAGGTCACGTAAATATTCATTTGGTAGCTGGGACTGACCTCAGGTCAAATTTATGGCGTACCCAGCTTCATTGATGGCTGCTGAATATTTCGTGCAATGTCTATTCTGGTTTCATACTTCAATAGCATACTGAACTGAGCGTTGAAACTTCAGTCAGTTATGTACCATGCTTAGGCGATCATGTATCATTCGATACATGACTGACGAGGCACGTTTTTTTTCCGCAGTAGGTTGATATTTCTTTCTGCAGTAGACCAATTGCCATCCAAGGCTATAGAACTCAGTCTATTTTGCTACATACAAATGAAGAGGATTCATACCTTTCCCAAGAGTATTAGCCCATAAGTGAATGTAATGGATCCAACTTGTATTCGAACACGGCTCTCCGATTTCCCAATCCGAGCCGCTATCCATTACTCCACCACCCAAATGAATTTTTGCCTAACATTGAAACAATGATTTTTCTTTTTTCATCTCTCGAAAAATTTATTTTTTGAAGCCAATGGCTTGCTACCACTCGTTTCCGAGGGCCCTAGTCTGACGGGGTGGTTGTGGGGGTTTCTCATCAAATAGTATTGCCGATGCCTGCTTAAATTGCAGCCTGTGATTTATACTGCAACAATGCTGAGCGAACTTTATTTACAGTTTCTACGAGAGAACGCATAATCTGGTAACAATAATTTGGTAACAAAAAACAATACGCTCCAACCCTCGGCCACGATGACTTGTGAATTCGAGCTGCTTATGAATGATTCCGTCTGTCCAGTTTGCTTGAAAAGTCTTGGGTCAAGTCTTGGCTTGGCTTTTAGACAATTTCGAAATGTATCTCTCGCCTATCCAGAGCGATAACATCAAGTATATGATTGGTGTATACGGAATAAATTCCAATAACCAACAATTACTATTGTTAAAAGAGTGCTCAATACGAATATAATTATTTATTTAAAAATTATAACATAAATATGTTATAAAATCACTACAAAAATAGCCATTTTGTTTCAACACCTCTGGTGTCTTATCAAGTGATGATGTTGAATGCAGATTGTAGAATAAAGGTTTTAAAAGGTTCAAATTAATTAACCACCCCTCGTAAGGGGAAACGCTGTCACATGAGCTGAAATGACCAATCAAAATACAAGTATGCGAGAATTCAAAAAACTTGACAACGAAGTAAGGTTATAACGATAAAATTTGAAATTGAAATTAAAAACTACCCATTTCAAAAATGTAAATTTAATCTACATTAAAAATTTAAAATTATAATATATATATATATATATATATATATATATATATATATATATATATATATATATATGTGTGTGTGTGTGTGTGTGTGTATATATATATATATATATATATATTTCATTTCATATATTTCATTAAAGACGACTGATAGGCCACTGTGTTTTTATTCAATTTTATTATCCATGCTAGTATTTTCTTTTCTAGATATAAATTGTGTAAAAACTGACCAAAACTTCTGTATATCCGAGACCTTTCGGGTCTCCACTAGTCATCATCAAGTATTTCTTTTAATTCATTTTTAATATAAATAAAATAAATAAAATTAAACAACCCCGTTGATAGCAGACGGAGTAGCCGAAAGCGCTTGGATGTATAGAATATTTGGACAGTTTTTACACAATTTATATCCAGAAAAGAAAATATATTTAATTAAAACTGAATATCGTGCAGCATACAGGTTCAAAGCCCAAAAAAATAAAACAAACAATCCTTTAAAACAATTTTGACTATATATATAGTCAAACCTACCAAGGTTTCACCTAGGCGGATCGTCAAGAAAAAATAGAATTTTTTTTTTATGCTGTACGATTATATATATATATATATATATATATATATATATATATATATATATATATATAATTGACAGAAGGTTCTGTCTAAAAGAAAATAATCTCCCTCTCATCTGAAGAAGTAAATTCATTCCTTTCTCAACATTATTAGTGCGACTATTGATCGCAACTTGGAGATTTCACTTTCCCCAACGATACCCGTTGCACTATAGACCACCCTGATTATAATTGCGTCCTTATTTGAGACAACACCTGATTTCAACTTTATAATGTAACTCTTTACTTTGTAAATCGTCATCCAGGTCGTTCGGTTATAAACGTATCACAAACATACATAAAAATGCAGAACGGTTTACTTTACAAAATTAAACATTTCTTCTTTATTTTTCTCATCAAACCACATGAACTGTGTTGTCTAACTTTAGACCGCCTCGTTTTGAAAAGCACTGAGAATCACTGCTGCACAATAAATTAGCATACATTCCGATTAAAAGTAACTAACTTTTTATTAAGCTCACCTAAAAATCATGAAGAAATATTCTGTTCATCTCTACATCTCAGTTACAAACCCTGGTTATTAGATATCCAATGAAAAGAAAATTTATCCTATTTAAGTGTAACGGCTTCTTTGTCGGGAATACGGTTGGCCAGTACGCATGCGCACATGTGTAGGTTAACCGCATTTGTCAGTTCTGCAAACAAATAACCATGTCAGTTCAGCAGTAGCGCGTGCATACATTCATTCATTTTTCCATTATGTTTTCGACCCGTAACTGTTGTCGCTACTGAGCGTCGATAGGTTCAGTGCAATCGGGACAGTTTCCGGAACAAGGTATCTGATGTCGCTCGGACGCATCGTAGCCATCAAATAATCAGGATGTGGTTGCATACTGACTTCGGAACAAAAAGGGGGAGAACTCCGTATTTCTCTGACTTTTGTTTGTTTCTTTCTTTTTCTTTCTTTATCTTCATCCCTCCCACCAGCCTTTAAAATCTTCGGATCTCAATTTTTGATTATTTTCTGTAATGGACAAAAGGTTTTTTAGATTGATCCTATAGATTAATTTTTTATATTCGAGATAAATATCACTATGATATTTATCGTGAAGCGAACGTATATAAATAGAGAATAAAAAAAGAAAGAAAAAAAGAAAGAAAAGCTAAAGTCTTTCCTAGATGATATTCAACATTTCTAGGACAGAAAATAGAAAAGGTGAGGATCGTCTAGAAAAAAAGGTGAGATGGTATAATACCGTCAATAGAAATATAGAGAGGGAAAGAGAAAGGGATGAGATGGTATAATACCGTCAATAGAAATATAGAGAGGGAAAGAGAAAGGGTTGAGATGGTATAATAACTTCAACAGAAATATAGAGAGAGAAGAGAAAGAGATGGTAAATAACTTCAACAGAAATATAGAGAAAGGGACTGAGATGGTATAATAACTTCAACAGAAATAGAGAGAGAAAGAAAGGACTGAGATGGTATATTACCGTCAACGAAATATAGAGAGGGAAAGAGAAAGGACTTGAGATGGTATAATAAATTCAACAGAAATATAGAAAAAATACCAAGAAAGGGTATTATAATTGTCAATCCTTATTTTGGTTGATGGTATAATACTTCAACAGAAATATAGAGAAGGAAATTGAGATGGTAACAATAATCAACAAAATATAGAGGAAAGAAAAGGACTGAGATGGTATAATAACGTCAACAGAAATATAGAGAGAAAATACATAATACCAACCAAATATAGAAAGGAAAGAGAAAGGGTTGAGATGTATAATAAAACAGAAATATAGAGAAGGAAAGATTCAAATATCTTCAACAGAAATATAAAGAAGGAATGAGAAAGGTGGAATAATAACTTAACAAAATATAGAGGGGAAATAGAAAGGACTGAGATGGTATAATAACTTCAGAAATATAGAGAGGAAAAGAGAAAGGACTGAGATGGTATATTTTCAACAGAAATATAGAGAGAGAAAAGAAAGGACTGAGATGGTATAATAACGTCAACAGAAATATGGAGAGGAAAAAGAATGGGATTGGTATAATACGTCAATAGAAATATAGAGGAAAAAGAAAAAGGTTGAGTTTAATGAAAAATAGAGAAGGAAAGAGAAAGGGTTGAGATGGTATAATAACTTCAACAGAAATATAGAGAAGGAAAGAGAAAGGGGTGAGATGGTATAATAACTTCAACAGAAATATAGAGAGGGAAAGAGAAAGGATGATGGTATAATAACGTCAACAGAAAATATAGAGAGGGAAAAAGAGAAAGGGATGAGAATATAATACTTCCAAAAAATATAGAGATGGAAATTAGGTTTGAGATGGTATAATAATTTCATCAGAAATATAGAGAGGGAAAGAAAAGACTGAGATGGTATAAAACGTCAACAAAAATATATTGAGATGGTATAATAACGTCACCTTATAGAGAAAAGAGAAAGGGTTGAGATGGTATAATAACAGTCTAAGAAAGATTGAGATGGTTGTCAACAGAAATATAGAGAAGGAAAGAGAAAAGGTTAGATGGTGTTATAATACCAAATATAGGAAATATCAAAATAGAGTGAGATGGGGTAATAACGTCAACAGAAATATAGAGAGGGAAAGAGAAAGGACTGGAGGATTGGTTTTCAACAGAAATATAGAGAGGGAAAGGGGTTGAGAACTGAAATATGGAAGGAAGAGAATAATATGGTATGTAAATGAAAATATATCCTATGGTATAATAACGTCGTATAGAGACAGGAAAAGAGAAAGTGGGAGATGGTATAACTTCAACAGCTGAGATGGTTAATAACGTCAACAGAAATATAGAGAAGGAAAGAGAAAGGGGTGATGGAATAATAACGTTCAACAGAAAATAAAAAAGGGAAAGGGTTGAGATGGTATAATAACTTCAACAGAAATAGAAGTCAAGGAAAGAGAAAGAAAGTGAGATACAATAACTAGCAAGAAATCATTAGATGGTTAATAACGTCAACAGAAATATAGTTCAGCGTCAATAGAAATATAGAGAGAGAAAGAGAAGGGGTGTGGTATAATAAGTCATAACAGGGGAAACAAAGAGCGTCATTTTTCCATAACGTCAACAGAAATATAGAGAGGGAAAGAAAAGGACAGATGGTATAATTACAAGGAAATATAGATTGAGGGTAAAGTCGAAAGGTTGAGATGGTATAAATATCTTTTCAGGAAAGAGAACAAGGTATAGAGAATGGAGTGAGATGCATCGTAAATATCAAATATAGTCAGGATGAGATGGTTGCTTACTGAAAGGGGTGAGATGGTATAATAACTTCAACAGGAACAAAAAAAAAGGGAGAATGGTATAACGTCCGAAATATTTCTGATGGTAATAACTTCAACAGAAATTAGAGAGGAAAGGAAATGGGGTGAGATGGTTTTGTTTGTTTTAACGTTGGTAAAAACTTCTTAAAGGGGAAAAGAGAAAGAGATGAGATGGTATAATAACGTCAACAGAAATATAGAAGGAAAAAAGGACTTTAAATAACGTCCCAGAAATATCCCAGGGAAAGAGAAAGGACTGAGATAATTTAAAATACTTCGATCTCATAGAGAGGGAAAGAGAAGGAGTGATTATTTTCGTCAATAGAAATGGACAAAGAAGGGTTAGATGGTATCCTCAATAGAAATAAGACAGGGAAAGAGAAAGGGGTTGAGATCTATTTTATATTCGAGATAAATGGTATAATAACTTCAACAGAGATATGAGATTTATCCGTGCATACAGAAAAAGTGTTAGAAATAGAGAATAAAAAGAAGAAAGAAAATAGAAAAGAAAAGGTGAGATGTCTTTCCTAAATATATAGAGAGGGAAAGAAAGGGGTGAGATGATTCAACATTTATAGTGAGGTAGCATTAGATGGTATAATACCGTCAACAGAAAATGGAGGGAAAAGAAAAGGGTGAGATGGTATAATACCGTCAATAGAAATATAGAGAGGAAAGAGAAAAGGGATGACATGAGATGGTATAATAACCGTCAATAGAGAGGAAATATAGATGGTATAATAACTTCGGAAAGAGAAAAAAGGGGGGTGAGATGGTATAATAACGTCAACAAAATATAGAAATATAGAAATATAGAAGGGGAAAGAGAAAGGTGAGATGGTAAAAATAACGTCAATAGAAATATAGAGAGAAAAGAGAAAGGACTGAGATGGTATAATAAAAGTCAACAGAAATATAGAGAGGGAAAGAGAAAATAACGGACAGAAATATTGAGAGGGAAGATGGATGGTATAATAACTTCAACAGAAATATAGAGAGGGAAAGAGAAAGGGGTGAGATGGTATAATACCGTCAATAGAAAATATAGAGAAGAGGGAAATAGAAAGGGTTGAGAGATGGTATAACAGAAATATAGAGAAGGGAAGAGAGAAAGGAGTAAGAAAGGACTGAGATGGTATAATAACGTCAACAGAAATATAGAGAGGGAAAGAGAAAGGGGTGAGATGGTATAATACCGTCAATAGAAATATAGAGAGAGAAAGAGAAAGGGTTGAGATGGTATAATAACTTCAACAGAAATATAGAGAGGGAAAGAGAAAGGGGTGAGATGGTATAATAACGTCAACAGAAATATAGAGAGGGAAAGAGAAAGGGGTGAGATGGTATAATAACTTCAACAGAAATATAGAGAGGGAAAGAGAAAGGTGAGATGGCAATATCTCAACAGTGAGAGGAAAAGAATGGAGGATAATAACTTCAACAGAAATATAGAGAGGGAAAGAGAAAGGACTGAGATGGTATAATAACGTCAACAGAAATATAGAGAGGGAAAGAGAAAGGACTGAGATGGTATAATAACTTCAACAGAAATATAGAGAGGGAAAGAGAAAGGGGTGAGATGGTATAATAACTTCAACAGAAATATAGAGAGGGAAAGAGAAAGGGGTGAGATGGTATAATATCTTCAACAGAAATATGGAGAGGAAAAGAGAATGGAGTGAAAAAGAGTCGGAGAAATATAAAAGAGAGAGGAAAAGAAGAAAAGGTTTGAGATGGTAGCAAAGAAGGGTTAACGTCAATAGAAATATAGAGAGGGAAAGAGAAAAGGATGAAATATACATGGGTTGAGATAACGCGTCAATAGAAATATAGACAGGGAAAGAGAAAGGGTTGAGGGTGCTATAATAACTTCAACAGAAATATAGAGAGGAAAGAACGTCAATAGAAAGGAATGAGATGGTATAATTCAACAGAAATATAGGAGAGGGAAAAGGAAAGGGGTGAGATAAAACAGATAGAAGAGTAGTGAATGAAAATATAAATGTGTTTACAAGTTCGGAAAATATTATCACTACAATAGCTATAATGATCTTCGATGAACTGTCGAAGATTTGACAAAAATGTGATTAGGGCAATTAAAAGTTAAGGTGACGGTCTCTGAAATTCGATTATACGTAATTATCTAACATTTAATTTATTCACGATATCTTGTGATATCAAACTTCACCTTTATACATACTAAAATGTCCACAAATAACTTCACCGCTGACTTGCATCTTATAATGTCAGATGGCTCAGAAAATGGTTATACGAGACTACATTGCAATATCTGCTCTTTATGTATGTCTGATATTATTTCTCTAAGACGAAATGTTTCCCTATGGCCTGTTATAACAAATAAGGAGATAAGGGAATTGAATATAGAATATTATGCGCTAGAGGTAGCTTCCCACAAAACCGCAAATTGCTACAAAACCGAAACATTAACCTGAAATCTATTCTTAAATAGGGACATGTCCCCAGGAAGCGATATATTTGTTCGAAGTAGCAAAAGTGGTTGTTGTCTTCTGTAACTGGGTAGGCAATCTAGCAGATAACCGTAACGGACTGGTCCTCATTGTACTGGTAGGCAATAGTCGTAGGCAATATGCGAAGACAATAGGCGTCGCCCCTGTACCTCCACATTAAATTGTATTTATGGCTGACACCAGCCAATCATATTACCGTGAGGGGAACCCAGGGTTTTATGCATATTCATTGCATCAAATAGCTTTTGTCAGATCGAAAACTTTCATGGATGTCATGTATGCAATTCAAAACCCGTTCAGAAACATCTAAAACTCACTCGGTATTAGTATCGCATCTGCTTAAGATTAAAATGTCATTGAATGAAGGAAAACTATGTTTAAGCTCAAACTTCTTCGACATTGTCGACTGGCGCTACATGATCACCAAAAAACTATGTTTAAATGGTAGAAACCACATCACTTAAAGAATTTCAACAGCAGTAAATAACTAAAATGTATCTCTCACATGAAACATGTAATATAAGTATGGTGTTGACATTCCATATTATTGAATGTCTCAATTAACAGTCATGTTGGGACCTGATGGAGTTCTGTTCGCCCTTTGGCGGGAGACGGATGTGTCTGCAACGCGGTTCCAACGTCTCTGTTTCGTCTTGGCAAAAACCACCACCAACGGATAAGTAGATGGACGAGGAGTTGGGAGCAGGACGAGCTGACGAAGCAGAAATTGTTTCTCGACGACGTTTCATCGTATTTCCTTTGTGAGCATGCATTGTGCCCTTCCCCCACCGAAGTGATTGAGATTCGGAATGCAAATGGGGTGATCATTGTTGATCGGTGGAAACTTTGTTTACAGTAGTCATAACGTGAACTCAACAGTACAACAATGTTTTTTCAAGTACTCTCATTCATAAAAAAAGTCCAAATCAAGGGGATATATATATAGATATATATATATATATATATATATATATATATATATATATATATATATATACTTTTCAATTGGAATTAAGATATTTTCACATACGAATTATAATTTGAAACTTGCATGGTTTTTCAAACTGTTTATGGTATCAGTTTGCAGGGGATGTTGGCTAGTTAGGGAGAAAAGAGAGGAGGGGCGTTAAAAAGGACATGGTGGGAGATGACAGAAGAAGGCACTGTTACAGGAATCATATTATGGAGGTAGGAGTGTTTAGGTAGGCTGAGAGAAGGGGAAACCGATGAGCTGACCCACATCCCAATGGTCACCCAGCCAAAGTTTGATTCAACGGAATTACGGAAATTAGAGAGTCAGTTTAAAGATATTTCTAATTTATATTGTAAAATAGGACTGACTGATTATACCAACGGATTTCAACCTGTATATATATATATTTATATATATGTGTGTGTGTGTGTGTGTGTAGGGCAAGGCGTGTGTGTGTGTGTGTATGTGCATGTGTGTGTGTGCGTGTGGGGATGTGTCAGAGAGAGGAGAGAGAGAGAACATTTAATGATCATATGCAAATCAAATATGTATCGGAAGCCGACATGATAATACAATAAAGAACAAATAGGAAAGTTTTTGAATCCATTCTTCAAGAATGTAATTATATCTATTCAGAACAAAGAGTGCGTATATAAAACAGTCCCAGATTAAACGGAATGTCACTCCCACTGTGCCGGTTGACTGCACACCTGTGAATACATTACAACTCCTCCTACTAATCAGACACACATACACAATTACGAATACACATTACCATCCGATTCCCGCTTAGACATACTAGAATGTTTACAAACTTGCATACATAGAGAATTATCGTCGGTTTTATTGCATTAATGATACAAGACTGACCAATGAGAATCGACCTAAATAAAATTGAAAAATACCAAAGTTCTATCTTTTTGTCTGTTTCACTCAATCAAATGAACCTTTTAAAAAAGCGATATATGTTAGATTGATAAACGTTTCATTTGTTCTTTATTTTATCACAATAATAATAATAAGATTAGTCGCATTGATAAGCTGTGATAAATCGAAGCAGTACTGCGAATGACAGTAATGGACAAGACAGGTTATCACTATTGAGGTTATTTTTTCGTAATGCTAAAAGTCCAGTATGGTATATATATATATATATATATATATATATATATATATAGATATATATATATAATTATTATTTTTTATTACAAGAGATTATATAAAAACATGTTGAACTCACTAATAAAAGCTTTCATGTTTCAGTACTTTGATTGTAATTTTCAGACGATGCAGGTAACTGGTGATTAATGATTTTAAGAACATTTAAGAACAACGTGCCTCTTTTCCGAAAGTTAAAGGGGTGGGGAAATATGAGGTCGAATTAAAACTAGACATATGTTTTGATTAACCAACTAAATGTCAGATCTACACTAAATAGAAAAGTGCTCAGTGGGTGGAGGTATGAGTTATTTTTTCTATGTCATGATAAACCGAACATAGACAGGCCATCATTGACAATTGTGGGAAAATATGTACGCGACAAATGTATCGTGATTGTAGAATTCAATATGAAATGTTCAATTTTTGAAAGGGCATTGAAGGAGGGGTAGTATAATCAGATGTAAAGTTAAAAGAAAAATAATAATTTTAGATTCAGAAAGCTTGACTTTAAAGGGCCTTAGATAAAATTAAAAATGTGGGAACATCTATACTAAATGGACGGCAACATAGCAATATTAAAAGCTGAATAAACAAAATATATGTAATTACCCATTGAGAGTAGACCATTATATAATTAATAAATTATGGGCTATAAGAAAAAGTAATACTTAATTTTAAAAAATTTAATTGTATTTTTAAGGTAAAAGATAAACTGTGTAGGCAATTTGCAGTTAATTCACCCATTGTTTAATAGGGATTTTTTGTCAGCAAATTTGATAATTGCTAGTTTTTATGTAAACCTAAAAAAGCAAGGTTCATTTAAACATTTATGTTCTAGTATTTTATTAGTATTTTCCATCTTTACCGTGGGGGTTTTATTGACTTTTTTTAAGTTCTAAAAATATTTAAAAAGGGAAGTCCTATTTCTGTATGCGTTATTGATGAAAGATAATATGCTGGTACCACCTAGCTTAAATGAAGAACTTTGATAATTCCGATATAAAATTTTTAACTGTTGGATTTTCTAGTAGAAATAGTGCTAGGTAAAATGTAGGTTTGCCCGACATCAGTTTTGTAAATTGAAATTTGCTGAAAATTTCTACAATTACAGTTGCATTTATCTACGTTTGTTGATTTGGAATGGCTAAATATTATCAGGTTTAAAATTGAATTAAATTATCATTTTTTATAATGTTTTCAAAAATTATCTGTCGGCCATAGCTTAGTTTTAGTGTATTTCCTGTTAAAAATTCATTTAGTGGATTATTTCTGAAGTGTTTCAATAAATGGAACTTCGCTTTAACTTAGTACCAACCATTTGGTTAAATGGAGATGTGTACCAAATGATTTTTTCTGTTTTCATTTTTATTCCTATGATCGCTGTTGTTATGTTTTTATATTTTATTCAGGGCATGTAGCCAGTATTTTTCTGCAGTAGTTATAAATTTACTATGTTTGTAAAAGACATATTGCTGAAGAATTACTGATAATCCTATATTCTTGATTATTGATGGAGTTGGTTAGAATTTGGATGGATATATGTTGAATTGGCGTTTGTTTTATGTAAGGTTTGAACAGATTATTAACTAGGTCTAATCAACATTAAGGGAAATCTACCTTTAAATTAGTGTTGATCTTAACTTTAAGATTGAGACATTTAAATTTTCTTTAATTTTCTGATTTTGTCAGCTTTAATTTTGTGAAGTTTTTTCACCAGTTAAAAAAACCATCAATCTCTAAACTGTTCTTATATTATCAATGCTGATATCGTGGCGGGCACTAAACTGTTATATAACAACAATAAACCAATTACAAAACTGTTTTTGTTACAACAATTCAATGTCTAATTAAGGAAACTGTTCTTTAAAGGATGTTCTCTTGCATTTGCCTTTACAAAACTGTCTTGTAGAGGATGCCCTTTTGTCTTTACAAACTGTCCTTACCTGGTATACTTTCTTCTTTCCCTCTCCATTTACACAAATATTTAGAAACAGTAACTTAGACTTTGTGCCCAGACGCTTATTTGTAGCTGAATAGTATTGTACGTCAAAATTGATGGTTCGGTATATCTTTTACTGGTTTCATTTTGTTTGAGAGCGCATATTTTCAACGAAATGTTTAGCCATTCAGATGGTAAAATGTAATTAAAACTGTCTATTTAAAACAGACCATTTGTTTA